CCATCATTCCTTAATCGGCTTTCCCCAAGCCCAAGGACCGTTAACTGAACCACGATGAACTGTCTTAATTTTACTTTCTTTGTTATGTATGACTTCTGTCTTTAGTATAAGCGCTGTGGTGTGGCAACTTTTCACTATTTTTTTCATGTAAAAATTCACAATGATAAATTTCTGTTGTATTTCTGTTCTACTTTAAGAAATAAGTTGACCTGCCACAAAACAGAGAAAATGTAAATTTATTTCGCAGCATCTGGATCTCAATTTTCAAGCACATTTTAAAAATAAGATAATGCCAGTGAAAATCGAGGAGGTAAAATGGGACACAATTAGAAGGACCTTTTTCCCCCTCAAGGATTGGAGCGGTCAGAAGCCCAGTCGAATTAATAATAAAATAAAACTGTGTTTCCAAAGTCTGTGGCATATTGTAGAGTGTATAGAATCTAAACTGAATTATAGGATCTTGTCAAAGAAATCCATGTAGAGCTCTGAAGCAACGTAGAAGAGAAAATTTGAGAGAGAAAGACAAGAAATCCATCACTTGCCTATCAGGAGATGACCATAGAAAAAAAGAAAGAGAAACAATTCTATCTAAAATAAATGAGGAGAGGGTATGTTTGGGATCTAAACAATCTATATCTGTCTGTTAAAGAGATTAAAAGATAATAGCACTGTAACCAAAATCAGGAGCTCAGACAAGCAACCTCACTAATGCAAATGATAGCATTCATCCACTAACATCACATCATTAATTGAGACATAACTAATGCCTCAGGTGATAAACAAGCTGTTAAACATATTAAAGATCAAAAGTCTCAAGAGACCAGTAACCAGACTGCTCCAATAAAATGACGCAGATTAATTTTCCCCAGGAAAAACCATTTATAACTTACAAAATAAAACCTTCCATAATTTTTTGGTCACCTGGGCATCTCACATATATAATCAGAAATAGAAATTGCTAGTAAAGCACAGCAGGTTTGGCAGCATCTGTAGACAGAAATCAGAGTTAACGTTTTGGGTCGAGTGACCCTCCCTCAGAACTTTAGCTCACATACATAATAGTCTCCACACAAATCTAAGATATCAACATATCTGTTTGGCAGAACAGAAGTACATATTGATTTTTGCAAGACCCAAAGAACTTAAAAAATTAACATGCATTTGCAGGAGGAATCAGATATCCTAACCTATGCCCTAATGGTCATTTGCTGGAATGGAACATGACAAACAATTTTACAGCTCT